TAAATGGCTTAGGAACTAGAACGTTCTTTCTTACAAAGGGCAAAGCAATCCAAAGGCTTTTGCATGCAAAGGAGGAGGCATGGGAAGCCAGGCACGGTGAGGGGAAGCTGTGGGCACCCGTTGTGTCAACTGTCACGCTGCACTGGCAGTGTGGCAGGTCTCGCCTGGGCACCGCCGAAGCAGGTAGGTAGAGCTGCCTCCTGGACAGTGACCGCACCTGAGGGCTAGCGCAGAGCTTGGGCAGGAAGGGACAGGGTCATGTTGGCTAATGTGAAGACCATGGATCTGGGGCAAAGTCAGGAGGGGCAATGGTGGGCAGAATGGCTAGTTAGGGGCTGGTCTAATGATCCAGGTAAGAGGTGGCACCGACCGAGGGGATGGGGACAAGCAGGCAGCCACCTGGCACTCACACCCAGGACTTGGGGACTGTCAGAGGTGATGGGGAGGGTAGAGGAAGTGCTCTGATGTCTCCCTGTCATAGACATGTGGCCCTGCTATAAGTCTAGTATTCACCCTACCAGCACCTGGGCTCTGCTGACCCTTGAAATGATAGAAGATTAGCATTGCATGCATGAACCTGTTTCCCTAATATGAGTAGAGATTTGTAACTTTCATGGGATTATCGAAGAACTCATGCTCAGTGGGTAAGGCCCACAGTCTAGGGGTACAGTGCTGAGACCAGATAATACACCCTGGTTGGGAATTCATGGCATGGACTCCAGCTCAGAGGTGGATCCATATGAATCTGAAATGAAGTGTGAACATCTAAAGGGAATTGTTCTTCCATCTGCAAAGAATTCAATTTGCCTCCAGCCTTGATGGCCTAAAGTACGCCTTGATTATTAGTGAAAAATCAAGGACGAAGCCTCCATGCTACAGAAGCGGGGGTAGCGGGGTCCACTGTGCCAAGAGACAGCGACGTTTTCAGACCTGCCTCCTCCTGGCTGCTCAGACTCCAGCAAGGCCATGTGGCTGGGTGGTGGCCAGTGCTTCTGGCTCCTGCAGACCGGAGCCTGGAGGACCGGTTGCAGCCGAGCTTGCCTTCTCTGGATGGACTTTCCTCAAGGGTATCTGGTAGCTTTGGTCAGACTGCAGCATCTGCCACTGGCTGTCACCTGCTGGCTTCAGAGTTATTGACCCAACTCAGCCCAACCCTGCTGGGAAAGGTCATGGAGACTTTTCACCTCTGCTGTGACTCTGCCTTGCCCCTTGGCACGTACACACGCCTGACACAGCAGGAAGTGGCCAAGCCAGGGACTTGGGCTCCCCTGACCCAGGTAGAGCACTCTTGGCTGTGGGTGGTGATGGCGGCGTGCACCAGCAAATACAGAAAGGCACAGTGTGGGCTGCAGGCAGCTCCTGTCCCCAGCGGTACTCCTCTGCCCCAGGAGACTCCCAGGCCACCTACCTTCCTGACTTCTGGGTGTTTGCAGGTCAGGGTAGCCCTAGCAAATGCCACCAACAGATTGAAACTGAGAAGGAGACCAAGGCTGGCTCCCTTCCTGCTGGGCCCTGGGAGGGGACAGAGGAGGGTGCCTGCTCTTTGTGAGGCTGTGGCTGTGCTGACCTGCACTGTTCCCATGTCCCCTCTCCTCTCTCTTCCCAGAACAAGATCGTGGTGCCTGGATAAGCTTCACCACATTCCTCACCCCTTGGAGGCGTCATCTGCCAGCACCAGACCCTAAGTGACATATCTTTGCAGGAACTGACAGGGGTGACGCTCAGAGTCCATCTCTACCCCGTGTTGAGCATATACATGTTTTATTCATACCTCAGAACAAGCTTACCCTGTTTTAGCCCCATTTTACAGATATGGAAACTGAGGCAGAGAGGTACTGAGAGGCCAAATGGTCCTGGATCATAGAATAGGGAGGAACCCAGGAGCCTTATCTGAAACATGGGGGTGGCACACACCCCGTCTCCAAAATGTTGGGGCCTCACACAGCGTCTCCAGTGGGTCCATACACCCTAGAGCCAACATTGCTGGGTGGCCCAATAGTGTCCCTTTTCCCTCTGGGACCTGGATCTCTGGCGAATCCTGCAGGAACGTCTGGATCATTGCTCCCAGAGGCTGGGCTGACACAGAGACTCCTGCCCTCAAGGGCTCAGTAACATCTGCTACAGGTCGTTCGTGCCGGATGTTTGACCTCAGTGACCAGAGCATTGCCTCCCAGTTACTCCAGCCTTCAGGATGACAAAAGAAAGTTCATGAGCTCTGGGGTAACAGAGCGAGCTAAAAATACTCTCAATAAGTAAACAAACCAGGTTAGTGATCTCTGCTGCATGAGGCAGCAATTCCGGGTACACAAAGGCCGCTGTTTATGGTAGCGGGTGTGATTCTGAAAAACTCCTTGCCCGAGATAAAGGATGGCATTCCCGTCAGGTAAGGCAGGAAAGATGACCTACATAGAGTCATTCACCTCCATGGAGGCGTCACCTTCCTGAAAGGCCCCTGACCTAGTCCTCCAGGGTGCCGGGACGTTAGGTGCTGAGTCAAGATGGTGCCTGCCGGGTCACTGGCTGGCAGAAGTGAGCAGGGGCTCTGGTGAGAGCTGGTGGTTTATCATGTGTTCCAGACGGAACAATTAGGACCTGCTATTATATAATTGCTCTTGGGCTGTTAGCAGCTTGAACTCTGTCTGCTTACAGGGAGGCTCGGGGTCTGGTGCAGGGCTGAGGGAAGATGTGGACGAAAGAGTTGGTGTCTCCATCTCAGGACTTCAGCCCCAAGTAAATGGCTCGTGGTTTCAGTGGGTGGGCCCTAAGTAACTCTAAGTAACTCCTCCTAAGGGAGGAGTGCAGAGACTCTCAGAACTTTGGTTTGTATCAAGTAGGGGTCATATCAGAGTCTGCTTCATGTCAGACTGTTGAGAAGATTCCAGAAGATTCCATAGGACAATATGCATAACGAAAAGCTTAGTACCCAGGAGGTGCTTGGAGAGGGTCACTGTGTCTGAAGCTAGTCCAGCTATTGCTCTGCTGGTCCCAGGACTGTTAAGTTCCAGAAGGGGAGATCAGGATAGAGCATAAAGATGTCCATAGTGGGCTCCTGGCAGGTCCCTGCGCATTCTCTGTTCTGTTCTTTGAGATTTCCTTTTCATTAGGCTGTGTAATGATCTGGAGGGACTTCCCGCACACAATCAGCCCCCTGCCATGAGAACTCCAGCTCCCCAGAGCAAGGCTTAGGGGCTGCCTACCTCACGGAGAGGGAGTCATCCAGGTACCAGAGGGGCTGGGCACCATCAGGACCCCCCCAAACCCTGGCTGCCCTCAGAGCAGGGCACCGGCCTCTAACCAGCTGGACATGGAGGAGGCCTGTTGGAGGGGCCACATTCTGTAAGGCCCCTGGACAGCAGGCCACGGGAAGGCCTAAGATGGCTCCCAGGAAGGACCCTTCACAAGATCTAAAGGTTTGGTTCTGAGGTCCTTAAAATGGACTGAGTACCCTCAGACAATGGTACCTTCAGCAAAAGCAGTGGAAGGCGGAGAACAGGGACTGTCACAGGACTTGTGCAGGTGCCTAACCCAGAGCGGACCTTGTCCCTGGCTGCAGCCAATCTGCAGTGAAAACTAAGACCCCAGCCCCTGCCATCACTCTGATCCCCCCTCCCCAGTTTTTCCCTTCTGAGATCCAGAAAAGCTATTTAGCAAAGGTGAAGGCAGACGTCCCTGTAGGTGAGTCTCGAGTGGAAGTGGTCCTGTCCCCCCACCGTTCTGGGGAGGAGGGACAGTCCTTTCCCAGCTCACATTAGCGCTGGATTAGCAATTAGTGAATGTCATAACCCTCCTCTCCGAGCGGGGGCTCTTTCAGATGTCAGCTTCCTGCCAAGCTCACGTCTTATTACCTCTTTCCAGGGACTCAAGGGAAATTAACATCATGCCAGCCCCAAGGAAACCCCTCAGCGCTTATGAATGTCGGTTCTCCCAGGGAGGGAATTCAACTGAGCGCCCTATCAACAGTGGAAGACTAATTGGTGCGGAGTGAATTATGGAAATGCGTGAAGCGGAGTCTTTGAAACAGGTCCCTGGTGGCACCTCAGGTCCATCCTCCAGCTTTTGTCCTCTCTGAGCGATCCCCTTCTCAAACGCTAGAAAGTAAGTTGAATTTAGAATGGGGGAATGCGGGATGCAAGCAAGGGCCCAAAGCCAACATCTCTGACACCCACCAGGCGCTTCCTGTGGACCAGGTGTTTGGCATAGATACGTTTGCTCTGAGCCTACAACTCTGCCCTAAATCCAATTACTGTTCCCGTTTTACAGATGAGTTCATTGAGGTCCAGGAGGATGTGTGACTTGCTACAGGCCACCTAATCAGGATCTGACCCCACATTCTGCCTTGGAGCTGGTGGTCCTAACTCCCTCCTGGTAGGCAAGTAGCCTGATCAGTGGACAAGAGAAATTCCACACCTCGATTTCCCTCCCCCATAAAGTGTCTTGCTCAGTCAGTCATAGAGCAGTTCTGATCCCTTAGCCTGGAGGCTGAGGCTGGGAAATGCATGGAGGACTTGGTCTCTGCTTTGAGGCTAAGAATGTCCTGGACTCAGGGGTGGCCAGAAGAGGCAGGGTGGGGCTGCCAGATCCTCCAGGCTCTGGTTAGACTGCAAATGCACTGTTGGAAGGCCTGGAGGGCTGAGAGCCTGAGACCAGAGGTTGGGCCAGCAGGAAGCCCTGGTGGCTGGCCCTTGGTAATCTCTGGACTGGCCCAGTGGAGACCCCAGGTGGCTGTAACTTCCTGCCTGACACAGAGGTTGTCCTGTGTGTTAGAGGCTCACCTCAGAGCAGGAGAAATGGCTGGCCCAGTCACCGGTGGGAGCTGGAATGCTTGTATTTCAGGAATGAAGCAAAGAAAGCCCAGGGACGGGGCTGGGGATTTAGCTCAGTGGCAGAGGCACCGGCCTCGCAAGCATGCAGTCCTGAGTTCGACCCCCGGTACTGATTATAAAAAAAAAAAAAAAAAAAAAAAAAAAAAAAAAAAAAAAGGAAAGAAAAGAAAAGAAAACCCAGGGAGGGAAGGAGGCTCTGTCCACGGGACCCCAGGACAGCCTGCATGCGGCAGTGGGATGGGGAGGGCAATGGGTCCATTGCACACGGACCTCTCCCAGGTAAGGGTGTGGCTGAGTGCTGCCCAGAGTTTCCAGCGCTGCCTGGGCCATAGCTGGTGTCACAGAGTCAGCCCACCTCCCTCCCGACAGGACAGAAGCACTCCAAGAGCAGATCCCCCGCCTCTAGAAGAGGGCTGCCCAGCCCAGCTTGGCCTCTTGCCACCACAAGATGGCGCTGCTTGTGGGGCTTTGTTTGTTGCAACCGCAAGGCACAGACCCAGGTACATCCTGCGTGCGCTTCAGCGCACCCGTGTGTGCGCATGCGTGTGTGGCCGTGCCTGGTGAGCGACGAGACGCACGGTGGACGTTTCTGCCTATGTGTGCAGATGTACTCTGCGGTATGTGCGCTTACGTGTGTCAGAATGGCCGTCTGCGTGTTTCTGCAGTGCGGGAGGCGGTACCATCCAACTTGTGTCCTTGGGTGGCCCTCCCAGTTCTCTCCCAGCTAACCCCCAGCTGGAGCAGGAGGAAGAAGGGGTGAGGCCACGGTCTGGTGGTGTCCCGCTGGGTGCCCGGATGCCCTCCCGCCTGCACAGGCATCCTCTGTCTTCTTGCCTCGCCCCTTGCTCTCTCCATGCAGAGCTTTTGGGGTCCTGGTCTGTGTGGTGCCCAGTGGGGCCCCAGACTTGGGCTTGGGACCTGTTAGAACACAAAGCTGCCTGGTGCCTGGCCGGGGCCGGTTGTCTCAGACCGGATCAGCCCGGTCCAGATCTGAGCATCTCTGAGTTTGCGCTCTGTCCTTCCCACGGTCACCCAAGGTAGGTTCCAGGGTCATCTCATCTTATGTTGAAGAAACACAAGCTCAGAGAGGTTAACTGACCCGCTCAAAGTGACCAGTTAAGAAGTGGCAGAGCTGGTATCCAGACCAGGTTCCAGACCTGAGATGAACAAACGATCCCATCAGCCTGAGTACATTTTGATCAGGAGCTGCTTCTCTGTACTCTGTCACCACAGGCGTGCAAAACCCCTGGACCCAGCAGGAAGCTGCCGCAGTCCTCAAGTGCCCCTTCCTCCAGGAAGCCTTCCAGACTTCCCAAATTTCTGCACTCTGGGGGTCTCCAGCAAGTAGTCCTGGGTGAATGGATCACTTACAAACCTGTGAGCAGGAAGCCAAGGGCTGAGTCCCCAAGTCCTCTAGGGGCTGAAGAATCCTCTAGAAGTTCTGGATGGAGGCTCAGGCTTACCCTGGAATCACCCCCATTGCAGAGGCTTCACCTGCTCTAAAGCTCAACGTGGAACCTCAGGTGAGATCTGAGATGAGAGACATCTGTCCGCTATTGGCCCAGGTGGCAGCAACTGGCACTGCCCAGCTCCAAGAAGTTTCACGTTAGTTGTGCTGTGAACACTTTCATGTGCGCTCTGCAAGCTCATGCAACAGAGGCCAAATGAGGTAAAAGTCCTGGCCTTGAGGTCCCAGGGATCCAGCTTGCTTGGATCCTGGAAGTCCGCAAGGCAGGTGGTCGGGCCTTCTTCATGTCCAGCGGGAGGAACTCTTCGGGTCCTGCATGCTCACGCACTTCACCGCCCCCCTTTCGTATCCTGTGTCTGGAGCAAAGGCTCCCCCAGTGTGCCCTGAGAGCTACCAAGGGCACAAATGCCCTCTTTGCTGCAGTGCCTGCAGTGACCTGTGACAGCAGCTCTTCAACATCCAGTGTGACTAGAAAGAACCACCAGGCCCCCAGCCCTGCCCTGCATCTGTCTTGCGTCTCAGTGGCCCATTGTGGAGACCACTGCATCCCTCTGACCAAGCAGCTCTCTTCTCCCTTGCAAAACTGACCTTGGGTATGTCCCAGTATGGACCCCAGGAGGGGCCTCCCTTCAGTGGCATGGGGAACTATGGCCTCCTTTTCTTTAAATATTTAAGTCCAATTTGGTCAGATATTGACATTAGCCTGTGAACAAAAACTCCAAGTGCCAGGCAAGATGCAGTCTGCTCTTGCAATGGGGGCCCTCAGGGCACACACCTGCCTAGAGACTGCCCTGTCTTCAAGACTCAGTTTCTTCCTTGAGAAATAAGAGCTGGAATCACCATAGCCCCTGTACGGCACATGGACCACAGACCCAGGTTCTGGGATCCCGTATCGTGGCCCTGTGCTGACCTTGGGGTGGTTGGACACCACGTCTGACTGTAAACTGATTGGAGAGCCATGCTTGTGGGCATGCGCTTGAGGCAACGCACAGCAGGGCAAATTCATCTGTGCTTTATTAAAAAGAAAGAAAGGGCTGGAGATTTAGCTCAGCGGCATAAGCGCCTGCCTTGCAAGCAGGCAGTCATGAGTTCGATCCCCGGTACCAATAATAAGGAAAAAGACAAAAAAATAAATAAATAAAAATAAAAAAAAAAAAAAGAAGGAGAAAGAGGAGGACAACTTCCTAGGGGGGCTCTGAGGTTGCTGCACCTCCTCCTCCCACACCCACCCTCTGCGGGGTGTTGCCCTGCTCCCCGATTTCCCCCTCCCTGCCCTCCAAGACCCACAGTGGCTCCTCTTTCCCCACGTAGACCCTGAATGTCTCCACCCTGGGGTGCTTTCCCCATCTGGGCTCAGTCATCTCTCACTGTTACAGACCTTATGCCTGTGTATGTTCTCTTTCGAGACGAGAGTTGTTCCTGTAGGATGTCCTACCTTGTACTGGGTGGACAGTGCCTGTGCAATGCTGGTTGAGTGAATGAAACCTAGATTTGAAAAAGAAAATGTCTCAAAACCCAGAATATTCTATCTGCACAAGAGGACCAGGGCGGTGAACGGAATCCTTGCTAGGCCTGGGAATGGGAACACATTATAACAGGATTTCATCAGCTACGATGGAGAACCCTGCAGAGCCATCCTGGGTAACTTTCAGGGCCCTTGGAATGTCCCAGTGGGTATAAATTAATGGTTTGTACTGAGTGCTGTGAGGTCTGTCTTTGCATATGAGGAGAGAGACAAGCTAAACTGAGATGTATTCTGACTCTGGACTCAGAGGCATTAATTACTTAAATGAATAAGTATTAAATCAAAGGCCTTGCTTCAAAAATTAAACTCAGATTAGCCCCTTGCTCGACTTCCTGCAAAATCAAAAACATTTGGTCAAAGAATGGACACCGGGAGGGAGTGCTGAGAGGAAAAGACCTCTCAAGTGGCTGGAGCAGGGTGGCTGCGGGGTCGTGGGTGCCTCTGGGAGGGGCTGCTGGTCCCCAAGTGAGCTAAAGCCAGGGGTCAAGAACCGCTAATGGCCGGCAGGCAGGAGGGGCCCACTGGCGACTTCCAGGTCTAATTTGTGCATCTGAGAGAGCTGAGGTAGGGATTCTTGGGCACTGAGGAAACAGGAGGGCTGATCCAAGGTGAGACCAGAGATGTCTCTAGCATTGCGTGGGTCTCTCCAGGCCAAATCCGGCCTCTGTCTGGACCCTTGAGGAAGCATACAGAGTGAACTCCCCCAGCGGTCTTCTCACCCAGAAGTTAGGACTCTCTCATATTCTCCTGTTGCATCTTCACAAGACTCATCCCATTCACCAATTCCTTGGTAATATTTCATGATACTGGTCTGATCCTGCTTCCCACTGTAAAAATTTCAGCCCCCACCACAAAGGTCCAGACTCCTCTGTGAATGTCAAAGTCCCAAAGGAGCCACCCCCAGGCAAGCTGGTCCTTAACCTGCAGCCCTCAGCTGTCTGGGAATATGCTGGGATGTCACTCACCTTTCAGCCCAGTTGTCCCCGATGCCTTCTCTACCCACTGTGCCTCTTTCTCCACAAATCCAGCCAGTTACCCCTTCCTGGGAGCGCCGGGTTCTTCTCCTGCCTCCTGACGGCTCCAGCAAGGGCTGGTTGCTGAGTGTGTGCTGGGGAGCGCTGTGCTGTTTACCTCATGACTGCAGGCAGTGTCACAAGGCATGCAGTGTGTGGGTGGCATTTGGAGCCGAGGTGGAGCTCTTGATCAGCCCAAGGCCCCCAGGATACCCACCCGATGCCTAGGGGCGATGAGGGTTGCTGTGGTGCCTATCAAGGGCAGATGAAGATGGGTAGTGGGGGACAGTAGAAGCAAACCTAACACCAGGGCTCCCGAGCAGGGACCTGAGGCCGGGGCAGGGCCCTCCCCAGTGCTCAGGTTCCTCAGTATTCGGGGCCCAGCTCTTGGGTGCCAAGGCTCTCTAGGAGGGGAGGAGAACAGCCTCACACCAGCAGTCACCGCTGTGCCACCCGGACTTAGGTGCCCAGCTGCACAATGAGCCAGCGGACTTCTATATCTCTGGGCCACGCACCTCTGCAGGGTGGCTCCAGCCACAGAAGCAGGGCTGGGGGTGAGCACCATCTCCTCTTCTCGCTGGGGCCCTTGGGCTGTGTCCTGGAAGGCTTGCTGCAGGGAAAGTGGCTAATTAGACAAAGCATGCATTAGCATGTGGGTGGACAGGCCACCCAGCATGGCATGCCCGTGATCACGGTGACCTTCCCCATCAGTTGCTCTTGGCTTAAAAGCCAGCATCTGCCCAAGGAGCTGAATCACTTGTGGGAGACTTGAGCCCTCATGGTGACTGAGGGGGTCTGAAGGGGCTCTGGAAGTTTGGTACCGCACTTCGGTGTACCCCGCACCCAGGGATACAGTAAATAGTGCAAATGGGGTGAGAGAGTGGACTCCCAGAAGTCAGGACATTGGGCCAAGCCTCTAGGGAGAGATCAAGGGCAGCTCATGGGGAGACTTGTCCCCAGACTTGCATTCTGTCCCAACAGGAGGTTGGAGGCTCCCCGTGGGGCCGGAGCGGAGGAGCAACCAGCAAGGCCCAGACCAGGTGCACCCACTGCGCCCCAAGCACAGGCAGCTGACCCAGGCAGGGCTGCAGCCAGGAGAGGCTGCAGCTCCCTCCTTTTCTAAGACTCCCAAAAGGTCTTGAAGTGCAGTGTGGGTGGGTGAAACGCACTCAGCGCCTTGCGCATGTCAGACAAATGCTGTACCACTGAGCTGCATCTCTGGCCCTGCTTTGTTTAAAAAATGTTTTAGTTCCTCTGAAAATCGGTCCCTCTTCTTTCAACGGCATGCCCTCAAGAAAAGCAGACCCCGCTCTCTGTCCAGAAAGGAATCAGGCCCTGGGCCGAGCCTTCTTGCTCTGGAAAGAGGCCAGGTCAGGAGTGGGGCAGCTCCTAGGGAGGGGCTCAGCAGGCAGGCCCTGGAGGGGAGACTGCAAAGGAAGCCCTCCCGGCCAGGCTCCTTCTTGACCGGCTTCTTCTTGGCCTAGTTCTCTGCAGGACACCATGCCTGGGTGGCTGGGGGGATTCCAATGCCCCAGCCCCTGCCATTTGGCTCATCAAAGCCATTTTGTTCCTGGCCGGGCCCAATTCACACCTGGTTGCAGGTCAGTGAACAGGCAGAGGAGCCGAAATGGGTTTATGATGGGGCAGGATGGGCGGGGCGCTGGGGTCCTGGCCCTGGAAAGCTGGAGCCAGCAGAATTGGCACCTTTTGGAACTGCTGTTGAGACCCTCCTCCTGCAGGTCCCCACCCCCACCAGCAGCAGGCAGGAGTCCTTCCAGAGGCTGCTCCCACGATGTAAGCCTGGGACAGGGCTGAGGGTGGGGGCTGTCCACTTTCCAGTGCCTGTGGCAACCCCCTGGCTCACTCCAACCCTACTAGTCTTATGGGGTGGCCACAGTGGTTCTCCAAAAGCAGATGGCATGCCAAGGCTTGGACTTACAGCTTAGAGCCCTGGCTGCCTCTGTGCTATGACCTCTCCCTCTCCACTCTGTGACTCACAAGGCCTTGCCCCATGCTCCCTATATCAAGCCTGGACTGCCCCCCTAGATCAGTGCAATTATCATCTTCCCATGTAGGACTCCCCCCTGGTGCCTTGAGGATAGGTTGGGGTGTTTGTGCTGTCTGGTTCACTACCTTTGGGGTACTGGCTGTGCCCTGCCGACCTCAGACAGGTCCCAGTTGGGGTGTGTGTGTGTGTGTGTGTGTGTGTGCCCATTTTGAGGTCATGCTCTGGTACCTAAGACTCTGACAAGGTGACCTTAATCAACTTTGGAACCCCATGACCCTTCTGTGTAGGGACATGGGGCAGAGGACAGAGCTCTGGGTGCAGCTGAGGCTTCTGCGGCAGATACAGGCTGCCCAGCCTGAGTTCTCAGTGGCTGCTGTCACAAACAGCCACAAGTCTACCAGCTCATGACAACACGAGTCTCTTTCTCACCATCTGGAGATCAGGGTGTGGGCGGGGCTGGTCCTCCGAGATGCCCAGGAGAGTCGCCCACTACCTGCCTTGTTAGCTGCTGGCAGTGGCTATGTTCCCAGGCTGCTGTCCCCACGTTGCTCCCATCTCTGCTTCTGTGGTCACATCTCTCTCTGATCCACTGCTTTCTTCTTGTAAGGAGCCCTGTGATCACGTGCCCCACCCCTCGTAATCCAGGATCATGTCCCGTCTTGAGGTCTTTGAGGTCAGCACCCACAAAGGTCATCTCAAGGTCAGCACACCCACTGAGTCCCTTTGGCCATGGGACGTTGTGCAGGCACAGGTGCAGGCAGGGAGCGGAGTGGACCCATGGGGTGAGGTGACTGTGATTCCACAGACCACATCCATTCTCTCCGATGTTCAGAGCCCAGGGGCTGAGGAAGCCTCTGGCAGCCCAGGGGCTGAGGAAGCCTCTGAGTCTCCTCCCCACCCCTGGGCACTCAGCAGCCCCCTCGGTCCTCTGAAAAGCTTTTGGTGACTGCCAGCCTCAGCACAGTGAGAGCCAGGACCATAGCAAGCAGACAACGGGCCCTCGAGGCTTGATTTTAACTCTCACTTTCTTGGCATTTGATGCACATAGGGAAAAGCACATGGACCCTGGTGTAAGCTTGGTGATTTTCCCACCCATTTGGCAACAGAGTTAGAGGTCCAGACACAGACGCAGCTGGTGGGGCTGTGGACTGTGGGGCTCCCCAGACTCCCCTGTGCTGCAAGCTGCAGCTCAGGCACCCCGGCCCCACCCAGTGCTCCTCCAGGCTAACCCTGTCCCGACTTCCTCAGCCGCTCTCGGCTGCAGGCCAGGTTGTTTCACCTCTGCCCGGTGCTTCGAGGTGCATCTCTGCAACTGCCCCTCCATTTGGCTACCCATGGGCTCCGAGCACCGAGCTTTGGGAACCATTTCAGCATGGCTGGGGGTATACAGGTAACTCACCCCCTTAAAATGCACAACTCATTAGTTTTGGCATATTCAAAGTTATATAACCACCACCATACTTTTAGAACACTTTTACTGCTTCCAAAAGAAATTCTTCCACGGACACGGTGGTACATGCCTGTCATCCCAGCACCCTGGAGAGCTGAGGCAGGAGGATCCAAATTTTGAGCCTCGCCTGTGTGATTAAGCAACTTAGTGAGATCATCTCAAAATTTAAGATTTTTAGAAGGGCTGGGAATACAGCTCATTGTGATTTTCCAATACAACAAAAGGAAAGAGATAGAGAGAGAGAGAGAGAGAGAGAGAGAGAGAGAGAGAGAGAGAGAGACTTTCACTGTCACCTCTCTGGCCTCTCATCCTTTCCTGGCCACTGGTTCCCCTCTGCTGTTCCAGACATGTAGGGGGTCATATGGGGGAGTGGTCCTTTGTGGCTGGCTTCTTTCACTCATAGTGTCCTAAAGGACCATTCATGGCTGTCATATATGTCAGTGCCTCACTCTTTTTCATGCCTGAGTAATATTCTACCCTATAGCTGAATCATCCTATCCTTTTACTAGACAGTGGACATTGAGGTTGTTTCTGGTTGGGGCTACTAGGAAGAATACTGCCACGAGCCCTTGTGCACAGGTGGCCTCCAAGCTAGCAGGAAATTGTTGATCATAAGGTCTCTCTGTGTCACTTTCTGAGGAGATGTGAGACTATTTTCCCAGCGTTTCATATTCTCACCAGCCATGCACAAGGATTCCAAGCCCCTGCCCTCCAGGCTGGTCATTGTCCTCCTTTCTTATCGCCACCCTGTGGGTGTAGAGTGAGAGAGGCCCAGCTCTTGCTTGGATGTGCAGGTCACAATACCGCCTGCCCTGCAGGGCTCCCCAAGGACAGCTGTGGCCGCACTCCAT